CCCCAAAACCCCAAAACCCCAAAACCCCTTATTTTATGACAAAATTGAGAAAATGGTCTGAGACTTCAGTTTATCATTTTATTTTTTGATTTTGGGAAGAGCTAGATTGTTGACCGAACTAGTGTTCAATCTAAGAGATAGCACTCCTTCGTCCTTCCCTACCGATGCACTCTTGTTTACGTCTTGATTTCTGCCATTCCGAAGTCTTTGGTGAGGCTTCAATTTCATGTGAGACTTATTTAAGTATTCTATATTTATCAAACAAGATTTACCATTATGGATAAGTAAGGAAGAGTTTGATCTAGACCCTTTGATAGGAGTCTTCATCAACCCTTTATACCCTGAAGAAGCTTCAGTGTCGGCTGTGTCGATCTCATAGCGCTTGTTAGAAGCTTTTGAAGTCTTGCAGTTTTCAAACATTTTGGAAAAATTCTTCCTCAATATAGGGATTTCTCAATTATTATCCCTCTTTTTCGATCTGTAGACCTGTGGTTCCTCAAGACTCTTCGTGTTGAGATAAGCCATGAAAAGCTTGGTCTCAGGTGCATTATTATAAGGTGTATCATTGCTTATTGAGTTGATGACCTTACTCGTTTGCTTATCAATTGATTTCTCTCTGCTAGGACGGTTTTTGGCTACAGACTTATTTAATTCTAGCCATGGCTTCTGAAATCTTCTCCTGGCTATTTCCTATAACTTTAGATAAGATTCTCACTTTTTCTAAGATGAGCCCCACAAATCCTTTTGCCGTAAGGAGATGCCAGGAGAGAGGCCTGGAACTTATGAGCCAGACTAGGGAACGAGCTCTTAACCTTATCAGAGCCTGAGGAGCACAAATCTCTACTGTCTGTTTTTCATTCATGATTCACAACCACAGAGGAATTGATGACTCCATTTCTCTCAGTTTTATTCTGACTCCTAATTTTATTTAAGAATTCTCTGCTCTATTTCATTGATACTGCTAGGCTGTTGAATTCCTATACGCTCTATACCTAATCTATGAGAAAGCCTAAGCTCAAAGGAAGAATAAGAGCCTCTTTGGAGACCAAACATAGAGTTAAATTACTTAAAAGTCTAGGTTTCAAATTTACCTTCTCGTCTTGCAGTATCAAAGGCCATTGAGAAGTGGCCTCTAGCTCTGGCATTGGCGTTAACACTCTTTCGTCCACTTTGATTTAGATCTTTGAGATTAGATAACTGCTAAACTTACTTATTCTGTTCTTGATAAGGTTCAATTTTCCGTTACGCTTAATGTTCTTGATTGAAGTGTTATCGATCAAGATTTTGTGTGAATTCTTCTTAAAAGTCTGGTATATAGATAGGTATGACTGATCAGGAACTGTGCCTTGAAGGTTATGTGAGGCTATAATAGAGTAAGTAAATGCACAGGGTTGTTCAGCTAGCTTAGATAGGTATTAATATTATACAACTTTCTTAAGGTTCTCGGCTGAACTCTTGTTATTGTTACAAGAAAGTATTATTAATTAGATTCAGACAAAACTTGTAAATATAAATAACATTATGTAAAGAGCCAATATTTTAATTTTTGATTCCTATTAAAAACGCACTAAAATTATTGCTAATTGTTGTGATCATCAAAAATTTCCGAATAAGCTAGCTTAAGGGTAAACCTTGGCTTAGGTTTCATTGACTTTTGGTGTTTAAAATATTCGAAGCCAAGCTGAAAATCACTTAAGAGCCATTGATATTGAATGCATTATGAGTGCAGATGCTCTACAATTAGTAATCATTATTTTAACTGAGATATTAATAACTAAATTCGTGATTTATCCAGATTTTGTAGATGAAGGAATAACATTAATATCATTTCCGAAAACTAAGTCTACTATCTTCGGCTAGAAAACACCTATCGAGCAGATCATTAAATAAAGTAATGTTTAATCAATTTTGAGATAAATTTAGAAATCCTTGGCTAAATTAGAATAAGATTAATTTCAGAGTTATCAAATTGATAGAAAAATTAGTATTTGATGCCTAGAAAGAGCTCTCTTAGACTATATAGTTATACTCATTATTAACTCAGGTGGCTATCAAGCCAAATCGTAAGAAAGTATCAACCTAGACAGGCTCCAGGGACGTCTATTTGGGAATTCTCATTATTTAGATAACAAATTACAAATCCCTTTATATAAACCGGTTGATAATTTACCAGCAATAAGCTATTTTAATCGAGACTTCTATGTTGTGTTCTCAAATTAAATGAACCAGGAGAATCATATTTTCAAAATATTGCTGATCAGGCAGAAGAAATTCTGATTAATTTCCTAACAAAGCACAAATTAAGGGCTGCTCAGTTCTCCTTACTCTTGTTTTGGCTGTGGGATGAAGACATTTTGGCTGTTTAAATAATCAATTAATGTTATTTATAAAGGGGTTTTGGGGTTTTGGGGTTTTGGGG